GAGGTAAGAACGAAGGCCTTTAGACTGAAATGTTAGCTTTGCATGGGATCATAGACATGCTGAACTGTAGTTTGGCAGCTTTATTGTTTTCAGGATTGTGAGTCGCATGCAGATTATACCGTACCGTTTCCTTTCAGCTAGAAGTTGAATCACCAATTTAGCTTTGAGTTTCACTTCAGAATTATCTTGTATTTAGTTCCATTAAAGGTATAGTGGAGGATGTTCTTTTTCTGGGTGAATCATCATCATCATTTTCACTTGCCGGTAGTGAGTCTGACATATAAAAATTACTAATCTTCTTTTAGAAAGTAAGCTTGTACGAGCGATGCAAACAGCAACTTTTAAACAGAGCGTGCACGAGGAGAAATGGGCTTGTGCATACTCTTGCACGTGTTTAAAAGGCTCCAAAACATTGCATAATTCTTCCATAAAGGCCAGATTAGTGATGTGCATATTTCAGCTATTAATCTTTGTCTTCTTAATATATTCTCCCCTTCTTAGCTTTGGATCTCTAGTCCTCTTTACTGTGACACATCAAGAGTGTCAGCAGAAAACATTAAAAATAACTTGTCCTCTGTGTTGCTGTGCAGGCATGGAGCCAGTTTGCAAGTCGCCTGGAGGATCTGGCCCAGCCTGAGAAGCTGGAGTCTGCTCTGTCCTGCCTCAACCTGCTGGTCACAGACGCTTTGCGTCACGTCCCTGATGTCATCGCCTACCTGTCTCGGCTGCGCAACCAAAGCGTCTTCAATTTCTGTGCCATTCCTCAAGTAAGAGCATCTTCAACTCTAACAATGTGGTGATTTCTATTTAAAGGAGAAGTCCGGTCAGCAAGGAATAATCAATGGATCATTCTCTGTACCTAAAACTAATACGTAGTAAAACCTCACTCCGGACATCTCTGGGCAGTGATGTCACTGTGCGGTAAGCCTAGGGCTATTCTCCCCACTTTACAAGCAAAATCAATGGGAGCTACTAGACCCATCTGCAATCAACAACAATTATTTTAGATTTCGAGAGGACTTCACCATTGAAATTCACGAGAGCTGTAGTTAAATGGACAATGCCCATGTGCATGGCAGTTGGATGTTGAAATACATCAGGTAAAGTGAAAAAAAAAATTTTTTGTCCTTGAATTGAGAACTTGAAGAGGGAGGATGTGCCATTGAACTTCTGGCCAGAGAAAAACACGTAATATGTAGCCAACATTTCGAAGAAGAATGTTTTCAAGATCATTTGGAGAATAGCGTGTTGTGACAAACACCAGATACAGCACTGGGACTTGATCAACAGCCCATACTGCACACCTACCGGTTTGTGACGATGACATCACAAACCAGTAGGTGGCAGTAGTGCTCCTTGACAAACATGGATGCCTCTGGTAAAGCACATTCAAATGAAAATGACTCTTAATTAAAAACACTTATCATTTATTGAACTGCATGCAATAATTTCAAATTTAAAGTACTTTCAGATGTTTGAATTCTGAATATGACCGGACTTTTCTTTCATGCCCCAGTGTTTCATATATATAAACATTAATAGTGTTTTAAATCAGAGGGAAAGAAAATTAACGGAACCGAATAAAAGTGTCAAATTTGTCTTAAAAACAAAAATCAGTTGCCTCCATTTTTAGATCTATTTATCCCTGAGTTATAAAGTAGTGCCATCATTAACCTAGCGGGGGGTGCATTGTGACTTACACTTTATACTGAGCACCAAGTCAATCCCTAAAAGGTTTCTAAGTTTTGAAATAGCCAAAGGTTTCACCTTTAAAAGACAAATCTACCTTTTTCAGGAACTCATAGTTCTTGAGTGGATCTAACATCCAAACTACTAATTTATAAATATTAGTTACTCTAGAAATTGCCCACATTCTAAAACCTGGTACTGTTTTGTTTATTTACTTGTTTTCATTGGTTTTGTGTTGGTAGTGATCTCAGGTATCCAAATACCGTCATGGAAAAAATATTTTAACAGCATTTTTTTAGTGTTTATCGTGTTATTCAGCCAACAGAACCTCAAAGCGATAAATTGAAGAAAATAAGGGTTGTCTGATGTTTTTTCCATTGCCTAATATTCTTGATTTTTGATTGTTAAATGCCTTTTTAGGATTAAAAAGAAAAAAAAGCTAATCTTATTTCTGGGCTAGAATTAAAGCAATAACTGTCCCTTCTCCTTCCTTAGACTAATGAGATGTAATTCCTCTGTTAACCAGGTGATGGCCATAGCTACCCTTTCAACATGCTACAACAACCCCATGGTGTTTCAGGGTGTGGTGAAGATCAGAAAGGGCCAGGCTGTCACCCTAATGATGGAAGCCACTAACATGAGCGCCGTGCAGACCATCATCGCCCAGTACAGCCAGGAGGTTTGTAGGATTGTTCTTTCTCTGTCAGCTTCCACCATATAGACTTACTGAACCACTGTCCTCTCTTTTGTCCAGATCTTACAGAAGGTCTCCCTCAATGATCCGTCGAGGGACAAGACGTTACACATCCTGGCTTTGATCCAAGAGAAATTGGCCCTCCCGCAGCCCGCCCTCAGATCCAGGAACCACCACCTGTCTCCTATGTACCTGTCAGCTGCCATGCTGCTGGCTGCTCTGAGCTGGCAGTATCTCAATACTACGGCTGCCCAGGCGCAGAGCACCGGGGACATGCAGTGATGCTTCCTGTTGCTCAAAGACTGGAAAATGCTGCTTCTCTCCCCTCTCTGTACTTTTAGCCCTGCTCCTTCTTTGGAAACCTGGGCAATGTCTTCCCATATTGGCTGTTAAAGAACCACTGACTGGCTGAACTTCGGGGTTCTTATTTGCAGCATGATCTCAAAAACGTTTTTGGTTTTCAAATGTTCTCATCCACCATGCATTTGCTGCAAAAGGTGATTTTAGGATTGTAGGGAACAGCCATTGACCTTTATGAAGCTTAGGTTGAATTCTGTCTGAACCTTTTAGCTGTATATAATTATGTTATAATCCCAATTGTGAGAAACACTTGAAAGAATGTTAACTTTTGCACTGTTTGATCACAGACAGATTCCATTAACAGATTTAGGTAATTTTCTATTTCATTCAGTTTGGACTTTCTTCAGAAATACAGAGGAAATATTTATCTGCTAGTTTCATCACACATGCATTAATAAATGGGGGGAAAAAAGGAAAATATATTTTGAACAAAAGGAATTTGTTAGCAAAGTGTCCTTAACAGCTTTGGTGAGTAGAAAGGCTAGCACTAAGTAACCTTGTACAGAACCAAAGGAGAGTTACAATCATTGCTATGTAATGTGATGTTTTCATTTGTACATATTTGAGGAAATAAAGAAATGCAATCTCTCTGAGATCTGATTTGGAGCTTCTTTTTTGGGTCAAAGATGAATTGCTTTGATAAAATTCAAAGGTTAGATAATGGAAAATTTACGAGAAACAGAACTGAAAATCTTCAATTATTACTATTTCATAGGGAAGTCCCGATAGAACTTTTTCATTTCTAATATGAAACCGGTATTACAGCTTTGAGTCCCGATATATCAACACTAATCATACATATTTTTTAAACTAATTTTGTAGAAGGAAAACATTCATTTTGATCAAGCGATATTATGCACACAGAAAATAACTGCCAACATAAACAGGTGGGAGAACAACTCACAACTTAAATACAGAAGTGGAGCATTTCCCTCAGCATGCTAATGTCAGAGGTTTTAGATGCAAGCTGATAAATCCTGGTATTAATGTTCTGGCTGATATCGCACTGGGACATCCCTACTATAGCACCACTTCCTGGGCTCTTTTTGAACCTGAGTAACATGGCTACCATGGAAATTTTATCTATCAGGGGAAAAAGCTATCCAAATCAACCTGACCCTACTTAACATCAATTTCCTCTATGAATGTAATAACTTTAGAGTAAATGTAAAGTTTTGAAGCATAAGTGGCCTGTTTAGTGTCATTTTTTAGCATTTAAATAGATTTAAACAGAAAATTTGACAAGGCCACTCCAAAATATTGCAGTATATAAGATCAATATAAGATCACTGTTCTGCTTCAGCTAAAAATTACGAACTCGAAATTGTACTTTAGGATTTTATGACTTGATAACAGAATCTGTGGTTCTCTGATATTGAGGACATTGAGGTCTCTAGGTCCTTAGTCAGCAAACCAGCATCTTACCACCACCTTGCATGATTGTCGTTTTCTTAAATGCTGTCTGTTTCACACTTACATAACTGGGCAAACACAGTCCTTAAAGTCTCCCTGTTGTCTGTAATGTCTAAAATGCCCCTCAAAAGTTTGTGATCATCAAGATATTTTTTATAGCAATAAGACAATCACTTGCAATGTTTTTATCTATTTCTTTAAACTGTAAAGCTGAAGTATGGTTCTATTCTTTTATTGTGGAAGCATAAACATTTACCCAAAATCTGGTCTGACCCAAGATCATGTCCTAATGGAAGGATCTCTAAATCAACATCTTACCCTAAACAAAAAAGGAAAGAAAACTCAAGAAAATATGAAAATAGTCCCTGACAGCTGTCAACCAGGAATAGCTAAAAAAAAAAGGAATTTCTAAAGGTTCGTAAACTAAAAATCAGGACACTGTGATGAAAAAATATTTTCTCAGCTCTGTAAAATTTGATAGTTTTTTTAGTCAGCTGTGTTAATATTAAATTAAACACATTGTTTTTTATTTGTAGCTGCTTCTGATTTATGCAAAATAGTTAACATTTTATATGTTTTTGTTTCTTACTCTTTCTGAGGTTTATTAGACTATCTTTGATTTGATTTTCTGCATGGGTTAATCAGCCAGAGCAGCTCCAAGGGTTTACTGCTACTCTTAGAGGTACACAGGTGAGAGAAAAAAACACGAGTATTCATATATATATATGTTTTGTTCTCACCTGTATCCTACCTTAAAGAGTAGCAGTAAACCTTTGGAGCTTCTCTGGTCACATGAGATGAGCAGCTATTATATGTTTATTACACAAACATGTGATTCTATGACTTTGCCTTTCGTATAAATAGTTGCAGCAGACATTGTTCCTTTGAAGGAAAACAGAACATCAGTGAGGTAAAGCCTTCAGCTCTGAAAGAGGAACACAGGTATGTAAGGCGACTTTGACTGCAGCCATCCATTTTGCTCTGTGACACTTTGTAAATATGTGCAGATTAAATAGGGGAAAAGATCATTGTCAGGCTTAGATCTTAAAAGGTACTATAAGAAAAAAGTGTTGAACTAACTACTAATCAATATTAATTATGTTTGCCCTGACTTGCATGTGACTGTATGTTTGTGGTATTAATAAATTACAATGAAGTTACAGTGATGAGCAGGATTACAGCTATTTTTTCTTCATTTATGATGATTTAAGATGCTTTTTTTTTAGGATGCATCCTTTCTTCCTGCTCTGTGTGGCAGTGACTGGCTCCATAGCCTGGGCCCACCCACATCTCTCTCACTTCTCCTCAGAGATGATCAACCATATTAACAAAGCCAACACCACCTGGACGGTGAGGTCATTTAATTTTAGTTTTATTTTTAATCTGAAAGTGTCACTGTCACCTACTGCAGTCTTAACCTGACCGTTTATCTGTATTAATTCAACTATTTCTGCTTTAGGCTGGACAAAACTTTTATAATGTTGACATCAGCTACGTTAAAGGGCTTTGTGGGACCATCCTGAAAGGACCCAAGCTGCCAGAGGTGTAAGTTTTAGGAGCTTCATGGTGATTGGTGTTAGATGTGAGTGTTCAGACCCTCACATGACCAGGCAGGTGACACTCTACAGGTTTATTACCTGCAGAGTGTAACAGCTCATCTCCTCTCTCCTTTAGGGTTCATAACATTGAAGGTATAAACCTTCCAGACAGCTTTGACCCTCGCCAACAGTGGCCCAACTGCCCCACCCTCCAACAGATTAGGGACCAGGGCTCCTGTGGATCTTGCTGGGTAAGAAAAGTTCAAACAGTTAAGAATAAAACCATTCATTTCACACTATTTGGTTACTGATCTTTACTTTTGCTACAGGCTTTCGGGGCAGTGGAAGCAATATCTGACAGGCTTTGTATCCAAAGTGATGGTAAGGTCTCCCTGGAGATATCTGCTGAAGATCTGCTCACCTGCTGTGATGAGTGTGGAATGGGGTGAGCGTCATCAACAAAGAACAGAATAATCAACATTAAACAGCACGACTGAGCTTCCAAATATCAAGAAGATGACATTATTTAACTTCTAATGGTGGTTAGAAAGACCAGTGGCACCTGTGTACTGCAGTATCGCTTCAGTCAATGAGCCCCAGGCCAGCTGTGGCTACAATGTAGCTTGTCACCATCAGTGTGTGAATGACTGAATGTGTAGTAAAGCAAAACAGACTAGGGTATTTACCATAGAAATACAGGCCATTAAACCAGCTTAATCCCATAAAGATTAATATTTTTTTTGCACTTTGAGACCTGGCCAATTAGGTGGAAGCACAGCATGAAATATGACAATACTGGTCAAAATCTACAAATCGATAAATATCTACTTTATTTAGAATTACAAATAAAAAAAATATAATAATAATGTTTTACTTATTTGGTGGTGTCGCTGATACACTTTAAACAATTTTCACTGATCCAGTCCACTGTTTAATATGGACTATGGAATACGTTTCCAATTTAAGGGAGGACGAATGGGTTTAAAAGAATAGCAAATAATCTGACTTAATGAAGAAGAAGGATTTGGGGTTAAATTAGTTTTTTATCTTTAGTTAAGTCAAACTCAAAATAAAGACAACTGTCTAATTAAATATTCAGTATGCCATCTAAAGTAAACAAACTGGATCTCTAATTTGAAAATAGGTCCTTAATACAACCCAGTACAACTCTACAATTTGACCAAATCTGCAATTTTAAAATAATTATGATAAGCTGTCTTGTGTTCTTTCTTACCTGACAAACAGGGACAGAATACTAGAACCAGTGTTGGTTAAAACAGATAAACTTCTATCCCAAATTCTGTAATTGGTTCAAGAAATTAACCCTGCTGTTAATTAACCCAGCAGTTTTTACATTACTATTGACACTTTTCAAAGCATAGCTTTTTTTAAATGTTCCCTTCAAAATATCTTTCAAAAGGTTGTTATTGCTGCATCAAACTCTTTTATCTCCTCTTATAGCACATATTTTGTAGAAAGAAATATGAGATGTTCTTTACTTTTAAACTTTTCAAAGGTACACAGACAGTGGATAAAAGATCTCCATAAGTGTTTCTTTAATGATTTGCATGCTTAGGTTAATCAATCATAGAAACTCTAATTTGCAAACAAATCATTTCTTTGTCTGAACCTCATAATAAAGTAAGTTTTAGGTTTAGACAGAAGATATTAGAGAAAAGATTGAGGAATTAGGACATTTGATAACTATCATTTCCTACGTCTTGTAACCTTAAAAGCTCATTTATAAAAATGACCTTATCTCTTTAATAAAATTAGTAAGAACTTAAAGTTCTGGGAACAGCCCAGGATTTAGCTCAAAGCTTTATATGTTTATAAAAACATATTATTAATCAATAAAGTAGCGCAAATAAAGCAACCCTAACTTTTAATTGGTACTTTAAATGTACATCACCCCCACCCCCCACCCCATCCGCACTCATAAGTTAATTTTTAAAAATTTTTTAATTCACTGTTTTTTATTTAAGAACAAATTCCCAAGCCGGGAAACTGGAACATTTCAAAGTCAGTGATCAATACCCACCCGCCCCACCCCAATCTTAGCTACAAATCACATGACCCAATACACATAAAAAAAAAATAATAAAAAAATAAAAAGGACAAAGCATGTGCGTGATTCGCCCGCAAGTCTGAAACTCCCTTTGCAGTTTTTTCCCAAATTTGTATGGTTGACACTCTTGCCGTATGGATTCTTGCAGTAGACAGTTCCATCATTATAACATCTTGAAAGTATAACAGCCATTTTTATTAAGAAGCCTGTGTGGGGGGAGCCATCTCTGAAAAATTAGTTTTTTTGCTGCTGTTAGGCCTGCAAGCAACACTTTTCGCTCTTTCTCTGTACAAAAGTTACATTTTTAAAATTTCATTGACATATTTATGTAGACAATTCAATTGCTCATTTGTAATGTTCAATATTTCCAGCCTTATTCAGACCAAAGAGAAAAGGCTAAGCTTACTACCTTGTTGTTCCTTCTTGATCTGTCATGTTTATTTCCATTTCAAAGGCTTTTTAAAGTAAAGCATACTGTGGCTTTGTGTGTTTGTAGCTGCTTTGGTGGCTTCCCATCCGCTGCTTGGGAGTTCTGGACAAAAAGTGGACTTGTGACAGGAGGCCTGTATGACTCCAAAGTTGGTAAGGTTATCCAACTTTACAGTCCTTGCTTTTAAAGTTCAGTACAGTTTTTGGGTGCCAGATGTCGAAAGCGCTGATTGTGTGTTTGTGTTCCAGGTTGCAGACCCTACTCTATTTCCCCGTGTGAACACCATGTAAACGGAACTCGTCCTCCATGTCAGGGCGAAACAGAGACCCCTAAATGTCTGCAGCAATGCGCTGATGGATATTCACCATCATACCCCAAGGACAAACACTTTGGTAGATCATTTTGATATAGTCTTCTGCTTTTGACTGCCTTGCGTCTGACTCCAAGCTTTCTCGTTCGTTTTCCCTCTTCAGGTCAGCGCTCATACAGCGTCCCATCGGATCAGGAACAGATCATGACTGAGCTGTATAAGTACGGGCCTGTGGAGGCAGCGTTTACTGTCTTTGAGGATTTTCCACTGTATAAATTTGGTTAGTCTTTCACTTTGCCAACTGAACATATATGAAACTCCACTCTACAATTAAATATATCCACTAATGTGAAGTATACACATTTCAGAACTTCATATTTGTAGGTCAATTAGCATTTTTTTAATTAAATATGTTTACTCAATAAGTCTTGGGCTCCAGATTTAGGGCTTTAGAGCCGAAATATACCTTTGTATGAAATAAACGTTGCAAAGCAGGTTTTAACATCAGTCCTTTTGTCTAAATTTCATATTTTTAGTACAACTTTAAATCCAAGTATGGAGGTACTTTAAAGTTGACATCATGAGAGAGTTCTGCTTAATGGCAAATGTACTGCTTTAAAATGAATCAGGTGGATGAATTGATTGAGATTTTTTCCTTCCTGAGCAGGTGTGTACCAGCATGTGACTGGAGGAATTCTGGGAGGTCATGCCATCAAGCTCCTGGGCTGGGGGGAGGAGAATGGCACCCCCTACTGGCTGGCTGCAAACTCCTGGAACAATGACTGGGGAGACAAAGGTAAAAGTGCACATGCAATGTTTCTAAGTTATATACATTTTTTGAAAAAAACGTGCAGAGTCTGTGATAGTTTTGGTGCAGCAAACAATGTTCACATGTTGTTTCTGTATACAGGTTTCTTCAAAATCAGACGTGGAAATGATGAATGTGGGATTGAATCTGAGGTGGTCGCAGGAATCCCCCTCAACTAATTGATTTCAAAATCATGTATTTTAACTTCTTTGTAAGATTAAAGACCGAAAGCCATGTGATCTGCAAATTCATATCCAGAATTATCATCCATAAAGGATTTTTATCACAGTAATGTGATGACTGTTCCTTTAGAGTCTTTTAAAGGAGAACATTTTCTTGATTATAGGAAATCTGAAATTATTTTGCAAACTGTTTTCACTCAGTTTTTATTTAAAGCTCCAAAAACCACATTGAAATGTGAGGTGAGGGTGAATTTTTTGGGCTTGTTTTCACATATAATTGTATCAAAATAAACAACATAATGAACCTTACATCTACCGCCTATTTTTTATTCTCTTAGCACTTAATAAACCTGAAATACAATCAAACACAATATTCCTTTTTATTCATGGCATTTTTATATCAGTTATTTGCTCATACTTTGAAAAAGTGTCTTTGAAAAAAGATATAAAATAAAAAAGTATGGTACATGGGAATGTCAGCTTTGTGGATCTAATCAATTTTATTTGTAATCTCCTAACCTACAAACTTTATAAACATCACATTATTTTAAATGCATTTAATGTGCAAAATTCCAAAGTACCACAGATAATACCAACGAGAAGAAGTTTATGATGTTTGGACAATTATATAAGCAATGATGGGTATTGATATTTCCCATATGCATATGTCTGCCCAGGACAGTATGGTCTAGGGGGGAACATAAAGCATAAATATGTTTCAGGTTAAGTTCATATTAGGTATTTGCATTTTCAGTCAAGGTAAAGGCCACCTCCTGTGGTGTGCACAGTGCAAGTACAAAAAGAAAACCTACTGTTGGTGGGTGATGTTTCTAAAACTAGTGTTTGAATCGAAACGTGTTTATAAGCTAGTAAATTCTTTATCAGTGTTTATTAATTCAACAGTAGGAACAGATCACGTCAGCCAATACATCCAGTCCAGGTATTTGTATTGGATTGGTGTGAAAAAAGAAAATGGATCAGTGCTTTTCTACTAAATAAGTCATGGCAATAGAAATTTCAAAATTCAATTAAATTTTTATTCATTTCACTTTTTTCAGCACAGAACTGGTTATAAAGGAAGCACATTTTTGTATTTTGATAAATGTCATCAACAAGGAAATTGTTATTTCAAAATCATTGAGATTTTGTGATTAATGTTGAGATTTTTTATCCATGATTATCTAGCTTTTTTAAGCTACAATAACACATGAATTATTTTGCAGTTCTCAGAGAGAAGAGGGTAGGAAACATCCTTCTTTGTAAAATGTAGAAAATCATTGGAAACTTAAAAGTTCAGGTCATTGTGTGACTTTATTATATAAACAGCATGATGCTTGAAAATCCACACAGCAGCTTATGTAAATATGCCATCAAAAATTAATTTTAAATAAAGAGTAAACAAAAAAAAAGAAAGGTAATTTAACAGTAGAGTAAGTTATGTTACTTGTGAAGAAATTTAGGCTATCTATACTGGAGTAGACAACTTTTTACTTCTACTCCTTATTTATTCTTGCAATTATCTTTAATTTCTACTCCTTACTTTTAAAAATGCACTTGTTAATTCTGTTTCATTTAAACTCATTTTTGTTATGGCAAAAAAAACTAAATAAAACAACCAAAATAATTTGCCAATATTTTCAGACTATTAATTTCTTTGTGGTTGGACTCAGTACTGCACCAACTTAATTTTTGGCCATGTATAAAACTGTTTTTCAAGATGATGCAAAGTTAAGTTTGACACTGTTGCCACTAGTTATAAAAATTAGGTATAAAGAAGCTATCATCCAGAACTGTAGAAGAATGTTCCTTAATTTTTTCCCCCTGCATTACTTTTACTTTCTTTACTTTTAGTAGTTTTAAAACAGGTACTTTTACTTTAGTAAAAAGCTTAAGTTGATACTCTATCTTGCACAAAAGTGTTTTTAAACAGTAGGATTTATGCTTCTACTTGAGTAATAAACATTAATACTTTGACACCTCTGTTTATCAAAATATTTTTACAGTATATGCAATTTCTTTGTTTGTTTGTTTCTTAGTCATGCATTAAATAATATAAAACAAGAATGTAAAAATATGAGAGTATTTCACCCATTAGAAAATGTGTTTAGTTTACTTCAAAAATGTTGCAATCAACTTCACGGCCTTTGTAACTGCGTTTACAGGTAATCTCCACACCGTTGGAGATGGCGCTAAAGCGTATCAGAAATATGATGTAGGGCAAAGAAGGACAGAAGGCGGGTCTTTCATGAAACGACAACGCTGATTGGTTCAAACTCAGTTACCGTCAGTAACGCTAATATCCCGGAAGCGGGTCTCCTTTCGGAGAAGATACCGGCCCAAAAGAAAAAAAAAAAGGCCTGCAGGGGGACTCCACCATTATCACAGCTGATGGGACTTATCGCAGCAAAGGGGAATCTGGAAGCGGCCTTTGATCGGTAGCTGGTGGGGATGAAGGCAGGTTCCCGGAGGTTACTTTAACTATTTTCTGTCTGTCAGTTCTTTGCTGTGTCGAGCCCTGTTGGCGCGGCCGGTTAAGGTTTGTGTTGAAGGATAGCCATAGGTCACGGGCATGTATTTAACCAATGCGGAGCTGTGGAGAACATACTGGGAGTGTGTTTCCAGGCCATACACGGTGTTCATCTGCTCCCTGACAGCCGCTCTGTACTATCTGTGGGGCCGCAAATGTCAGGTCAGTCACTGCGCTCTGGCTGAGCAGCTATAGCTGCATGATGCGCTTTTTTCTATAAGGCTCGGGCACATGACGTCACACGTTGCGCGGCAGCCATATTGATAGCTGGTCAGCCCACTGTTTACACTTCGCGCCTGTAAGGACTAGCTTTCTTCTGCTAGTAGTTTGCTTAGTTTTTTGCCGTTTCATTTTACCTCTGCTGTCGTTATGGTCACCGGTTGCTGTGTCGTAGGGTGTAGTAGCGCAAGCTGTGACTGGACGGGGAAAAAAATCCCAAATGGATTGTCTTTTTACCGTTTTCCAACCTGGAGGCGTCTCAATGGAAAACAAATGTCCTCCATAACAAAGAGTCGCCGGCTAGCATGGGTCGCTGCTGTAAGACGGCCAAATATAACTTTCAACTCAATCCCTGCGTCCATGAGAGTGTGTTCCCGGCATTTTCATTCTGGTAAGTTACAGAACATACTGTTTTTATTCATGTATCATTTCAAGTTAACCGTTGTTGGCTGATCTGTAGCATGAGCTGAAGTAGGGTTGTGTTCCAGAGGGTTAGCCAGGTCCACTGAAACACAAAACCGTTGTCCTACTCTGTTTATTTTGTCATTAATAGTTTATAATAGGGTTAATAGTTTTGGTTGTTTCACCAGGAAAGCCAGTAGATACATTTTTGATGTTTTACGTTAGTGCCAGCACCTAGTCTTATCACCACAACAAACACCACACCATGTTGAGACGGTAGCTTACCTTGGCTCTGATGACTGTGTTCTCATTCGGTTTGATTACTTCCATGTCATGAACTTTTCCATCTGTCAGCTGTTTGTAAGCCTCTAGCGACTTGTAGCAGCGAAACTCTTCATGTGTGTAGGCACTGACGCCACACACTAGATACGAAAATACGTCCTCCTTCTTCCCCAACGCTCCACTCCTTGCTTTCTACTTCGTAGGGATCAAGTCCGTTTATGAAGCCCATCTTTTGCAGATAACGGTCCCTGGCTTCCCTCTGCAGTGTGTCTCGGTATATTCCGCATCCTTTCTTCGCTTTTAACATCGCTGTTTACTCGTCTTTCTGCTCTGTCTCTATGCTGTTTTAGGTCTTTGTTTACCGTAGCAACTAGCTACCAATATGGCGGCGTACCCAGAATGCAACGCGCTGTGCCCGAGCCTTATTCTCACCTATTTTTAACAGTCTTCTCAATATTTTAATTTGTATTTTTTTCCATAACATTTTTTCGCCTGTTTTAAAATAGACCCTTTTTTTAAATGCACCAAATGGCTCTTAATTGTCAGTATTTTAAATAATTGCCCTTATTCTATTATTCTAAACCCCCTAATAAATACATTTGTTTGTTATTACTATTTATTTGTAATAGTAATATCCATATTATTATTCTTTAGTTGAATAACTGATTAATTTACTCGATGCTAAATATACTTTTACTTAGTGTTAATTTTTTTTGTTTATTTCTTAATTTTTTTTATTCAGTCTTTACCTCTTTTCTAGTTTATCTGGTTTAAATCCTCTTTAACAATTTTTTTCTTAAAGTTTTCTCTTAAATATAAATAATTGAGATTATTGCAATATAGTTCAAACTAAGGCTGAAACAATTAATCGGATGAATTGTGATTTAATCGATTATTGAGATAATCGTCCAGTAACTTAGTATCGATTATTCGTTAAATGGAGTGTAGGGACTCTTAAACATGCCAGCGCAACCCACCTTGAGCAGCCAAAATTACCAAAATTGTAAAAAAAATTGCAAATTGCAAATTTTTTTTTTATCTTAAATTGCATTTAAGATAAAAAAAAAAACTTTTTCTTCTGTCAACATGGTCTATCCAGATCTCCTCAAGTGGAAAAGTTTTAGTTGCACCTGGTTTAATTTTGTAAAATGTCTTCTTTAAAGAACCTTTTGCTATCTGATTATTAATCGATTAATTAAAAAAATATTTGTCAGATTAATCGATTTGCAGCCCTAGTTCCAATATAACTTATTCTAACAAAAATCTAAAGTTATGTTTAGCCCTTCCAACTTGTAATTTTTAACTGAAACTTCTTGTAGAAAGGTTTATTACATTGGTTTTTAAGCATCTAATTAACCCAGATACTTCTGCTTAAAGTGTTTAATCATCGCTAATGAAGTAATATGGCAAGATCTAATTCTATGAAACTAAAGACCTTAAAGCTATCAGAGTATTGACATATTTATTTCTTACTGTTTTTATCTTTTATAACATTTACGAAAAAATATACTTTTGCCAAGTTTGTGAACATAATAGGACTGATAAAAGTATTCTCAGACACCTCGTCTTTCATGATGTTTAAAGGCTTTTTTATATACCACTGAAATAAGGTAAGTTTTCTAAATCAAAATCGTAAAAAATACCGCTTGCAAAGTAGTGTTTTAGCTGAGTAATGCTTTAAAGCTGCACATATTTTTGTTTCATAAAATGGTGTTAATCTTTTCTCCTGTGCTTTGTAAGTGTTTTTGTTCTGTTTATCTTTCAGATCCCCATCTTAATATGCAGTGAAGCGTTCAGTGCATTTCTCTATAAGCACTGTCCTGTGGTATCGGAGCGGTTTTGTCCCACTCCCTGGTGCTGGGGAGGGCGGCTGCAGACGCTGGTCTGTGCGCTGCTTAAATCAAAACCCACTGTCTTTTATCGAAAGTAAGAACAAACGCTTTGTTTTCCTGTCAGACAGATGAGCGAGTTAAATATTAAATAACGTGAACTGACTTTACTTCCCAGTGAGCTGATTCGTACTGTTGATGGTGGTCAGATCTCCTTGGACTGGGTTGACAACCATACCAGCAGGACTTACCCTGAAGCCAAAACTCGTCCCACTGTGCTGATCCTACCAGGCCTGACGGGGAACAGCCAACAGGCTTACGTGCTTCATGCTGTCAGCCAAGCAACAAGACGGGGTTACAGGTAGGCTTTGCTCCTGAAACTACTACAAACAAATAAACAAACACCAGAATCAGAGATATATTCCACTTGGCATATTTGAATTAATATTATTACTTGTGATGCTTAAGCACATTTATTCAAAGGGACATTTTTATGTAAATATGGTTGAATCTTTCAACACTACACACACTTAGCAGGGTTTCCAGATTCTTTTGAAAAGAGATGAGCCCACAGCATCATAGATCCTTTACAACAGTTAACAGTGGACAAGGCGTAGTTAGTGTGATTAAAAAGATTTTAAAAAAGCTGCTCTTAAAAAGCTTGAGCCGCGGTAGTGTTTTGGCCACATATTTAAACTTGAGCCTTTTCTTTTAAACATTGTTTTTTTGTTGATGTGCAGAAATTATGTCAATATCTAATCCCTCGTAACCTTTAACTCATGAAAATTAACATTTGTGCCCAATTTAAGGGTCTTGAAGAATGACTTGGCATTAAGTCGCATTTACAAAATAACAAGTATTTACAAAATAAAAGCCCCTTGTTATTCCTAACAAGTAAAAAAAAGTTGAGCACAAATATAAAATCTGTTTCAATTACTTGAATTGTATATGAAACTAAAAAGGTACTTTCCTCATTTAAAATATCCTGAAAGTAATTTTTTTTTTTTAGTTTTTATTTTCAAAATGTATCTGCTGTAAGACTAGATCAATGTATTTTAAAACAGTTTGTATCTCATAACAGGGTGTGTCCAGTAGTAGGGAGGGAGCAAGCCAGACTAGTTTCTGTTCAGACTTTACTAGTAGATAAGTCAGCTGATGCATGTTTGACAGACTGCTGTATTTAATATCAGCTGACATGTTTCCTTTAGAGACAGAATCTCTATTTATCGACTCTTTTCCAGATCTGTAGTCTTCAACAACAGAGGAGTAGGAGGGGAGGAGTTGTTGGTAGGTGATGGTATTTTTAACTTCTAGACTACTTCAGGGCTTTGTTAAAGTTCATTATTATTTCACCCTTTTTAGCTCATAAATGTGAAAGATGTAAAGAGCTAAAATACTTTGTCATTATAAAATTTCTATTAATCATTATTTATATCTTCTGATTTTTTTTTCCAATTTCCTTTTTTAAAAATGTATTCAATGTTCTTATTTAAAAAAAAAAATGTTAGGATGTATTTAATGAGAGTACATTTTTGCCCAAAACATATATGGATTTCAACTTTGTAGAAGATGAGTTATTGATTTCTTTTTCTTTCAATTGTTTTAAATCTAGAAAATAGTTTTTTTTATTTTTTATAACGATTTCTCGTTATAATTAATCACATTTTTGGGATAAATAAAAGAGGGAAGAACATGGAATTATACTTCATAGAATCTGTTTTTGATTTTGACACATTATAATCGTTTGGTTCTAATATTGTTTTATTTCTGGCTTTTTGAGACAATGCTTTAATGAAACACTCTTCTTAATGAAGAACATTCGGCTACTATAAATTTACTAATTTTCTTTCTTATTTCTCTTGAAGAAGCACTCTGCATTTTTAATAGTTAATGTCGCTTTGCCTGACCTCTTAAGTAAATGAAATATATTTATCTGTGAGTAATATTCTTATTTTTTACCCTTTTTTTAATACATTTGGATGCTCAGTGTAAGAAATGTAACTGACCGACAAGCTGAGAGTTGACAGAGCAACTGCTAGCAACAATATTTATAAAGGAAGTCGGCTTTCTCACTGTTAATCTAACACTTCCTCTTTTGAATGTGTGTTTCTTTCAGACTCCTGTCACCTACTGCGCTGCTAATACTTCAGATTTGGAGCGAGTGGTGCAGCATGTGAAAGGCTTGTACCCTCAGGCTCCTGTGCTTGGTGCTGGTGTATCTCTTGGAGGGTGAGTGGTTAGAGATCTGTCCAGCGTATCTCTATGAGATCCAACTAGTTAATTTTCCCCCCTTTCTTCTTTTCTTTAGTATGATATTATTAAACTATTTGGCCCGTAAGCGCACAGAGTCAGGAATGGTGGCAGGCATCACGATCTCCGTAGCCTGGGATGCACTGAGGTCATCGGACTCGATGGAGGAACCTCTCAACTGGCTTCTTTTCAACAAACATCTCACCAACGGCCTGCGTCAAAAAGTTTCTAGGTTGCATAGTTTGTTGTTCTCTTAAATGTAGCAAAGTACAGCTAAATGTGTAGACTTGGTTGTAAAAGAGAACTAAATGCTGTTTTGTTTATTTCTTTCAGGCACAGGAAGATTCTGGAGAAAGTGGTGGATGTGGACTACGTCCTGAAGGTGCTTCTTTTAACCTAATGTTCTGTATCTTTCACAATTATTATATTGTATAAATGTATCTTTGTTTTTAGGACAGAGACATAGTTTTATGTTTTCATGTATTGTACTAGATTTACTTAGTGGAGAAAAAGAAATCCAAATTATTGTTATTGTTTTTCAAAAAGTGACCCTTGAAGCAGTTTATACCTGAAAAATAAATGTAACCCAAAAATGTATTTATTTTTTGAATTGTACTTTACTTTTAAGTTGAAATTTTAATTAGTAATACTAATTCCTATTTACCTGAGGTTTAACTTTGACATGACAGATAAACCTACTTTATTTTCGACACTTTAGGAGCAATAATTAAGAAGTTCATAGTAAATCTGACATACAAGGCTGGTCAAGGATGCCTGTTAATTTACCGTCAAGAACAGAGAGGAACATGGAAATGAAATAATCAAAAAAATAAATAATGATTGGATAATTGCAGCAAACGATAGCATCTTAAGGTAAAGGTGTTTTATTTTAATGCAATATTTCAAACACAGGGCATTGCTCTAAGCTGTAGCAATTATTCTCAAACTCAGTTATTCACTAACATGGTCGCCCAACATTGAACCATCTACTGCACAAGTCCTGCAAAGCTAGAATGTATGTTTCTCTTCGGGCTTGACTGGAGCAGTAGGTTTTGATAGACTATGGCTAAATGCACATAGTTAAGTATGATGGAGGATCTATAGTGCTGTGGGCCAGTCCAACAAAGGTGCCCAACTAGTGATGCTCTAGTCGGGGCTATGTTGAAGCTTGTTGCTTTACTTGAGGCCTCATTGATGCAGTGATCAAGAAGGACATCTGGTGGTGAGAGATATGAATTTCTCATCCTCTTCACCTCCCACCTATTACTATGTTACAGTGTTCTTCCCAGAAGTGACTCTTCTCCTTTTTTCTCTTCAGGATTTTTTCTGTAATGTTTTAAAACACTTAATACAGCTGCTAGATTTATGAAATGTGTTGTGTGATTACAGGTATAATTTTTTAAGGGTTTCAAATGCATGATATAAAAGTCCTCTTGGACATCTTGTTTCTTCAGCCTAAATCCGACGTGTTAAGCTCCGGTCCTTTAGGGCCGGTGTCCTGCTTATTTCAGATCAAAGCCTGCTTTAAAACACCTCAGTCAAATAATTAGGTCATTAGCACAACTCTGGAGGATTTGAAAGCTTGTTGAGGAGTTCATTTAGTGATTTGTTGGACCAGTGGCAGGATGCCAGCCCTTGACGACTGGAGTTTGACCCTTATTTGCTAAATCATGCTTCTGACTAACTGATTAAACATGTTTGGTTTCACAGCTAAAGTGCTTTGGAACTTAATGAAGTCATCATAGCTGATCTTAAGCTCAATGTTTACACACATAAATTGTGATGCTGTTGACATCAAACCTTCTTTACCTTCTAAAAGACCTGGAAAAGGTCTCCATTTTGTACCTCTCTCGTTTTGGCTAATGGTCAGGATTCATTCTGTTTACTGCAGTTAGGGGATTAATTTAAAGCTTTTAACACTTTCATTTATTTTCCTGCCCTTCATTGTCTCATTCTTGTCTGTGTTCTAGGCACGGACCATCCGCGAGTTTGACGAGCGTTTCACTTCCCACCTGTTTGGTTACAAGACTTGTGTAGATTATTACCGAGATGCCAGCCCTGCCAAAAAGCTCCCCAACACTAGTGTACCTATCCTGTGTCTCAACGCTGCTGATGACCCATTCTCTCCGCAGAGTGGTGAGTAGATAACAGGAAGCTGGGAGCCATTTAAGAGATCGGTGGACTTTGTAATTTATAATCTATGTCTCTTTGAATATGTTTATGGCCTTTGCAGCATTCCCTGTTGCCATAGTCCAGGCTCTGCCAAACGTGGCCCTGCTGCTGACTGATCATGGGGGACACATTGCCTTCCTGCAGGGTCTGTTTCCTCGGGGGGAGAGTTATATGGAGCGCCTGTTTGGCCAGTTCGTCCAGGCAGTCTTTGAACATCCAGGGGAAATCAAAAGAGCCTGTAGAATAAAAAAAGATGAGCTTTCTCAACACCAGCACGACTGTAAACAATAATCAACTACAGAAATCGGAACGTAGGAAAACCCCCAAAAAAAAAGGAAAAATTAAGTGAATTGCATTGGTTGTTCCTTGCATGCCGTTAGCCGTCCATCCAAATGTTTTGACGTCGCCGCAGCTCTGCTGACATACCTCAGATGGGAGCAAAATAAGCAAACCTAAAAAACAGTGAAATTGTCGGAGGCAAAGCCACTTTTCAAGTATTGAAGTATGAAGTTCTGGAGCCAGTTTAAAAAAATACAAGAACAGAAGAAAAAGCTTTCGCACAAATAGAACATTTTGAATGACTGGTTTTTTGGAATGTTAACTGCTTTCCATTTCCTCCTCAACATCAGCCCTGGAAGCACTGCAAAATAAGGTGTGCAGAAAATAGAAATCATTTTTAAACTAATTGCCTTGAAGGAATGTTTAAAATCCAACTGCTATACTTTTTTGCTCTATAATAAAGATAAAAAAATTTGGTATTTTAAATGCCTTCAATTAGTATAAGTACAGAGCGCAGCTTTTACCTAAGGTAGATTAGTGAAACATTCTGTAAGGTAAGCACTTTTGCTCTGTGTGAACTTACAATATTCCATCTGGAAGAATGTGAAGTGTTTTAAAGTTTGAATTCTCATAATTTGCCTTTGTCATTTGCACAGTGTTAAAAAAAGTTGTAATGTATAAATGCTGTTTATAAGAAGATATAAGTATGAATCTGCTTAAATATTCATAATTGTCTTTGAACAATGTTTTTCTGTATGAGCAGAACTGACATGTTTGATTGTAATGAAGGGAGCACTGATTATGAATGAACCTTACCTTAATGTGGTAAACTGGCAGTGAAAATGAAGTTGGATTCACTGTAGAAGACATGTTTTATTCATTTTTCTATCCTACTCCTAGAGAGAAAAAAAATGTATGCACTATAGAGGACAATAAACTATTGCAGTTGAATTGATATTTTTGCCTTTAAAAAATGTGTGTTTTGACAGCTCTTTGAACATGTTTAAAACATGTTTTTTTTTTTTTTTTATCACCTTGTAATTTCTAAGTGACATTGTTGCCTTTATTTTAAATTCTCAGTGAGCCAATGCGCACAATCCTATTATACACGAGACGCTTGTATATCTCTGTATATACATACTTGGTTTATGTTATGTGTGATACCTTGTAGAAGCAAATAAAGACTGGCATCTAAAGAATTTTCATTCTATCTGGTGAATGAACATCTTAGGTTGCATTCACTGCCTTGAAGAATTCAGTCCCTTTGAGCTTTTTATGCACAACTACAAATCTGACCAAAATGAGGGTTAACATAATTTTTAAGTGGAAAGAAAATTAAACTTTTCTCTCCGTTTTCTAAGAAACTATTAACTATGTTTTAATTCATCCCCCTAGTCAATACTTTGTTGTCTTAGGAAATGTCTTAACCAGAATGTTGACCCTTCTTTGCAAGCTCAGGTAGATTAAACATTGTCTAAGTAGAATAAAAAAAAAAAACATATTCATTCTCAGTTGATTGGAAATCTGGACTTTGACTGGGCCATTCTAAAATATCAGTGCATTGGCCTAAACAGGGCTTCTTGTGAAATTCGCCCGGCCTCTTTTCCTCAAAGGCTTCCTTTATATTATCTACACACTTGGACAAAATTGTTGGTTCCCTTCCTTTAATAAAAATATAACCTACTTGCTTACACGAATAACCTGAATCTGAGAAAAGTATCAATTTAAATAAAAAAAAAAAAATGAAAGTCAGACATTACTTTTCAACCATGCTTTAAGAGATTTAAAGATTTAAAAATTATACTCATGAAACAGGCCTGGTCTAAAATAATTTTACCCTTACTTAATACTTAATTGCAGAGGCTTTTCGAGGAAATCGCTGAAATCAAATGATTCCTGTAAATGTCTATGAGACTTCTGCCCCTCTCTGCAGGTATTTTGGCCCACTCCTTATGAACAAACTGCTCCAGTTGTTTCAGGCTTGAAGCCTGCCTTCTCCAGATGCATGCTTCTGCTCCTTCCAAAGATACTCAATAGGACTTAGGTCAGGGCTTTTAGAAGGCCAAATTAGCACCCGTTTTGCCTTTGGTAGGGCACTTAAACACATTGTGGCTTCCAAAAGAGCACTTAAGTGTGCGATTTGGCTCCAAAGAGAGAATTCTAGCATGCTTTGGGTTCCAAGAGGGCACTGTAGTATGTCAGGCTTCTAACAGGACACTTTACCCCATGTTTTGGCTTAAGGGGTATTTAGCACATGTTTTGGCTTCCAAGAGGGCACTGTAGCACACGCTTTGGCTACTGGGAGGGTAACTTAGCACATGATTTGGTGTCTGAGAGGATACTTTAGCACACATTTTTGCTCCCGAGAGGATACTTGAGGGCACATGAGCATGCGTTTTTGCTTAGAAGAGAGCATTTTAGCACATTTTGGCTTCAAAGGGGGCACCATAGTATGCCCTTAGTCTTTTGAGAGGGTACTTTAACAAGTGGTTTGGCTTGAGATGGCATTTAACACATGCTGCACAGTTTAGCACGCTCTTTGGCTACTGTGAGGGTACTTAAGCAACTGTTTTGGCTCCTGAGAAGGCACTTTAGCATGCGCTTCGCTACTTGGAGAATACTTTAGCATTTTTTAGCATTTTAGCCAAAACGGTTTAGCAAGCGTTTTTGCTCTGCTTCAGGGAACCTGAGGGCATTTTAGCACATGTTTTGGCTTTGAAGAGTGCACATTAGCATGTGCTCTGACTCTCATAAGGCCACATTAGCATGTGCTTTTCAATGATTGGGCTATGAGGGGGCGAGCACCTCGTTGTCAAATAATTTGACCTCTGAAGGCAATATATTACACTGGATTTTATTAGATGAGACTTGCATATGAATGCAGGCCACACTTTTTAAATCTTTTTTACAGATTTGATCTTTTTAGAAATATTCAAAACTCCTGTATCATTATCCTCTCACTTCACAATTGGGCAACACTGTGATGATCTACCACGAGAAAAACTCTTTGAATCCTTTAACTTTGTGGTTGTAATGCAATAAAATGTTATAAAGGTCTAAGTCTCTGGACATAACAAGAAATGCATTATGTGTATTAGATAAAGGCTAGGACTGTGATCCTCATTAACAAATAATTCAGTTGCTTTTAATTACCACATATAAGGTGATTAAAATATGCCGATCCCAACTGCTTGCCTTCTTTGGTTTCATCGTTTAAAATCCAAGCCTTTTATCTCGGTGAGGTAGAGTCATTAATGTCGCTGATTAACCAGAAATGCATCAATAATTAACCATGACCAATAAAGCCCCACACCCTCTGTCACAATCCTAACCACTCCAACTCTCATGTAGATTCATTTGTGGTCTGGAAAAACAGGCCTGAAGTGGCATTTTCTTTGTGGAAAAAATAGAACCAAATAGCTACTTTCTAAATCCTGTAGATTGTAATCTGAGAGCTGCAATTAATGCTTTCACCTTTAAAAGCCATCCACTGCTACTGTGGAGGCATAAGAAGGAAGGAAAGCAACTTATTCTTAGCATAATGGGAAAAAACCTGTTTTCACTGGTTTACCTAATTCAGTTAAAAACAGATATTTACCTACACTATTAAATAAACTATTTTTCTACCAAGCATCAACTTGATATATATATATATATATATATATATATATATATATATATATATATATATACCCAATTGTGGCATCATCCTTTGCCTATTAGGATGCTCTCTGTCGGGACAAGCGTTATTTTCTCTGACACTCCCTCTGTATGCTGTGTTCCTTCTTTCCTTTTTTCTTTTACTGACAATGTATTAGTTGGAATCTTTCATTAATTAGTTTACAGCTTCTATAAAACCAATGCAGATGACATTCAGTTGTATGTAACTTTCAAGTCCCACTTGCTACATTCTCTTCTAGTTTCCTTTAGCTTAGCAGCTTAGTCTAATGTGGAAAATATGAGACGTTTAACCCTAGTTGTACAGCTGAATACTAATAAAAGATATATAAACTTTTGGATAATACAAAAAAATTGGAATTTTGCTAATGAAATGTAGTTAATCCTAACTGACATAAAAAGGAAAAATAAATCCAATTTAAAGCCAGACAGTGAAACAATATAGTAATGCAGCATCTTTCAATGTTTGCATTCCTCTTTAAAAAGTTAGTAGCTGGCAGAAATGTTTTACTATGATTATAATTCATAAATATAATTTACATTTTTTAATGCTTCCTCTTTTTATCTTTGTTTATTGCCCTCCTATTGGAATACTTTGTATTATGCACAATATATTATTGTGAGTATTAATAGTTACAGTTAATCTGCCATGATAGATATACAACAGTATTGAGTTTTCTCTCCAGTCCGGACTGTCCTCATCCTCCTTGCTGTACCTACCTGGTGGGATGGGTGGAGCGTCAGGTGTCGAGTTAATGATTCAACTCCATAGCTGCAGAGATTGACAGATATGGAAAGAGAAGGGAAGGGGAAAAACTGAGGAAAGCTAGAGAGACGTGAAAGACAGACTTGGCAATGTGATCTCAGAAAAGTGTTCAAGGGTTGAAAGAAAAGGGAAGAGGTGGTAATGCAAGAGGGGCTGCTGCAGACTGTTGACCGCCTGGGAATCAAGCAGGTTCAAAAGCTGGAACTTCTCCACAGCTGAAGTGGTTGTTAAGCTGGAAGTAGGCCAGGCTGATCATTCAGCTCCTTTTATCCATGCGGCCTGAATAGGCTTGACAAGTGTTCATCTTTAATACTGATCTACACCTCCTGCAGGTAAGGTTATCAGTTTTTTTTTCGCTTTTTTTTAAATGTCTCCTTATAGTAGTTATCTTTCTCAGAACATCTGAAAACTGTAATTTTGAAATATATATTCTTTTTTCCTGTTCTTATTTACAGCTACTGGCCCTTCACATAATGGCCAATAACACTGTAAAACAGAGGCATGTTAAACACACCAGACTATTGCAGTATGCCTTTTGAGAATCCAGCTGTAGTTACACATTCCCATGAATTATTGATAAAGCAGCAGGAAGTGTGCAG